TGCCCCTGTGCCCATGCTCCTGCATCCATGTGGCTGTGTCCATCCTGCTGTGCCACAGCCATCGCCCTGTCTGGGTCACACTCTCCCCCCAGACTGGATGGACTGGGAGCAGACCCCAATCTTGATCAAACCCAAGTCGGAAGGTTGCTCCCTTTATCCCTTAGCCCCAGCATGTTTTCAGAGAAGGAAGGCAATTCGGCATCCCTCCAAATCCTGGTGCCCTTCCCTCCTCCTCCCCTGTGCCCTCCAGCAAGCTGTGAGGAGCATCAGCTGGCTCCTTGCAGTGCCTGAATCCATGGCACAACTTGTGTCCCTGCAGCTAATGAGACGAACCGCCTGAGGGAAGAGAACAAAACTCTCAAGGAAGAACTGAAGAGGCTCCAGAACCTGGAGTAAGTGCTCTCCTGGGTTTCATTCATTGCGAGGGGTGTTGCTAAGGACAGAAGCAGCCCCGCAGCTGAGCAGGGCTACTTCCAAACCATGGCATCCTCAGGGCTATTTTAGCATCTAATTCCTAAGGATTCCTGTAGATATTAGACATCAAAACACCCTTAATGGTCTCTAAGTCCTTGTTGACTTTTGCTCACTCCCTTGTTCATCTGCATCCAAGGATTCAGTTTTTGCGGCACAAGAGTATTCAACACCCCTCCATAGGGGACTGCTCATGGGAAGCAAAGCCCTGGCCTGCTCGCCTTGGCCATGGACCTCAACCTGGGCTTGCATGGCACCAGCTCCCCTCCTGCAGCAGCCAGAGAGGGTCTGCAGGAAGAAGGTTGTGTTTTGCGGGAAGGAGAGTGACCTGCAAGGGACTGAGACGGGGTTGGGAGGGAGAAGGGATCTGCACCAACAGGTTCATATCCCAGCAGAGCACTGTGCTGAAAGCCAAGTAACCTGCCAAGCTGGCCAATGTATACAAATCAGCTCATTCCTCAAGGGTTTAAAGACCAGAGGAATTAGCACTGAGGGATTAGTTTAGAAATGTGTTTTCTTTGGAGCACAGAGCCACCATCCACTTAAAGAGAAACTCTCGCTTTTACTCCCCGATGCTTCCCAAGGCTGAGGAGTTTCAGAGCTGTAGGTCAGGCTGGGTTTACTGAGCAACGAGCACTCCTGCTCTGCTCTTCCCTGGACTGCTGGATAGGAAGATTTCCAGCTAAACACCCATGCCTCAGTACCAGGGTCTGGCCAGGACTTTGTCCATGACATAAGTGTGGGTCTCCGAGACTCAGTGACTCCCTTGTAGTGACCAAGAGCATCAGCCCCACCAGTTCCATATGGTAAAGCCATATTCCCATGCTGAATCCACCCCTACACCCAGCTGAAAGCCCAGCCAGGGACGTACAGGTTCTCGCAGAGCTTTTGCAACAGCCACAGTTGGGTTTTGGCTTACCCAACATCGTGGCTTCCTGCGACGTTACCCACAGCCAGGTGGGGAAACCAGACCTTGAGCTGTCGTGCTGGCTCTGGCCCATGCTCCAGACTGCAGCTGAGCTAGCGATAAGCTGCAATGGAAGGAGGTGAGTCTGAGGATCCGGTATATCCACATACATATATACACAAATATGTATATTTATATATTGGACTCTGTAACTCAGAGCTCCCAGTACAGTGGCTCTCAAACCTTCCTTCTCCTGCCCCTTCTCATTCGTTCGTGTCCTTCTCCTTTCACCAGTGACAGGACAAAGCACCCAGGAGTCACCTCCAGAGAAAGCAGCTCCAAGCCCAGCTCCCCCTTGGCTTTACTGTCTCCAGCAAACAGGAATGCCAACACGGAGAAAGCAGCTCACAGGGGAGCAGAAGCAGCCCACCCTGATGTGCCAGACCTCGAGCTCGGAGAAGGTGGGTGCTGCTGGCTCCTGCCACCTGTGAAGGGCCTGGGGATGGGAAGAGTGACTGAGCCATGGTGCAAAGTTGCTCTGGGAAAGGGTCTGGAGAGCAAAGACCAAGCTGTTGGCAGCTCAGGTGGACATTGCCATGAGCAGAATAGCTGCTGGGGGGGGAAATGCATGTCAAGGGAGAAACATGCTGCTCTGTGTTATGGCAAAAGAGTGTTTGGGAGCCCTCGCTGTAAGATAAGTGCTGTGCAGGTGTGGACCCGACACCCATTTCATGCAGAGACCATATTGTTGCCTTGCTGCCACCCACACATGCCATGGAAGGTCTGTTCAATCAGGTGCTGGTTTGAGCCAGACAGAAACTTGGGCTTGAAACCTTCCATCGGAGGTGGCTGGTGCCAGCCAGTGGCATCCTTGGGATGCGGCAAGACTCCAGCACGCTGCAGGGCAGGGCAGCCTGCACCAGCTCTGCGGGACTGTCACGACAGCTGGTTGTGTCTTTTCTTGCAGAAAAGCCTGCAGGACAGAGCAGGTCTCCAAGCAGTAGGACTTCTCCAAGCACTGTCCTCCAAGAAGTCAGCCTTGCAGAAATGGTAAGTCACTGGAGCCTGATGACCTCAGGCCTTCTCCCCACCACTGTGGTCATCTGAACTGGATCAAGACAGGTAGACTGGGATAGAAATAGAACAGGAGGCATTTAGGAGGTGAAACATTTATCCAGACTTGGGCAGTTTGCAGTTGCCAGAGCCAAGGAGGGCTCCTACCAAATGCCAGCCAGATGCACCCTCTCTGTAGAAATTGCCACTCACTGCAAGAAAACTGTTTGGAGTTTGGCACAGGCTCCTGTCCCGGCTGTGAGTGTGCACATTTTCATTTGCTCCTGTGTTTATCCTCCATGACAACAGGTCTAGCACCCTTGAATCCTCTGCCTATCTCTCTGGTTCCTCTCTCAGATGTCTTGCTGGGGAAAGCTCCAAGGAGTGAAGGACTCAGGGAGATTGTGATGAGCCACGTTTCAGTGTAACTTATCCTGAGTTACAGAGTCAGCTCTCCATCATTTGGGAGAGCAAGAAGGTGGAGTGTGTGAGTGTTGGAGAACATGTAAACTGTGGAGTTGTGGGCACTGAGAACAAATACACCACAGCAGCCCTGCCCAAGAGCATTGCAGATGTCTCTCCATCTGCAGCATAATGAATATTAGTGTTTTCAGAGGGCCTGGTGTTCGGTGGTTGCTGTTTTGTGCACGGATGCAAGGCTGCCGTGCCTCTAAAACACAGAGAGTGTGTGTCAGCTGAGGGATGCTGAGTGATATGGTGATATTGGGCACTGGGAGATGAGACCACAGGACCCACAGCTCTGTTCCTGGCCATGGGAACTCAGGCCCACGTACACACCCACATGGATGTTTCTGTTCTGGCACAGGCTTTGCTCACCTGAACTCCACGGAAAACTTGAAAGAGCAAGTGAAGAGGGGTTTTTGTAAGGCTGCAGGCAGGATAATTAATAGGGATCCCGGAAGGGTTGGTGACATCTCCAGGTGGGCAGGGGAAAGCTGAGTCAGAACATGTGGTGAGCCTTTCATGACAGCAGATGCAGATGGTGCTGTTCTGGCCTCACAGCCAGGGACTCCACTGGGAACACACCCATCAAATCAGGGCATGCCAGGAGCTCGCATGAATAAAGTCTAGTGGCCTGAGTAGGGATCAGGGAACTCGCAGGGTCCTATCTTGGTTAAGCCACTGACCATGGCTTGACTTGAGAGGAGGCACAAGACCTCCTGGGCTACCAATCAGTGTGGCCAGGAAATAAAGAGTACTGTAGATCCCGCTGGAAAACACAAAGGGGGAATTTCCTGGGGAAACCTATAAGAATATGGTTGAGCTGTTGACCAGGACCGTATCAAACAGAGCACTCAGGAGGTGTCTGTCTTGTTCATGCCACTGAAGAGCTGTGTCTCTGCTCGGCGAGACTGCCCTTAGCCCCGCGGCGCCCGGGGCGCGGAGCAGAACGGATCACCTGGACTTTCTCCCCTCTGCCGCAGGTGTCCCAGAGGATCTCCAACCAGCTGCATGGAACCATTGCCCTGGTGAGACCCGGCTCCAAACCCTGCCTCCTGGAGAAGAGTCCTTCGAGGGCACCAGCGTCCCCACCAGCAAGGAAGACTCCTCTCCCAATGCCAGAGCGGGAGCACAGCCCCAGCCTTGAGGGGTGAGTTTCAGGGTTGGGGGTCACGGCGTGGGCCTGATCCATGGCCCGTCGCAGCTGTCCCTCTGGGCAGACTGCAACGAGATGGCCAGCATTGGTAGTTATCCACCCACCTTCTTCTCCAGAACTTCTCCCACAGCCCTGGGGAAGGGGGGGGTCTCCCAGTTTACACCAGCAAAAAATGACTGGAATCCAGCCCGACCAGATCAGCGTCTCATTACTCCAGCGTCGTCGGGCAGACCCATAAAGCGAACTGGGTGCCCCCACCTCCAGCCGGGAGCAGATCAGCTCATGGCAGGCAGCGATCCCTGCTCCGCCTCATTCATCCTCGTGGGCTTTTCTGCGGGGCTCAGCACTTCCCCAGGCTCATCCTCCCCGTT